CATCGAATTCCCCTGGAACTGGAGTTAAGGACGGTTATAGCAGCCATGTGGGTGCTGGGAATTGAACCCGGGTCCTCTGCAAGAGCAGTCAGTGCTCTTTACCACTGAACTATCTCTCTAGCCCCAGCCCTCTTGAACTGTAAGCTCAAATAAACTCTTCCATCAGTTGCCTTGGTTGTAGTGTTTTATCAGAGCAACAGAAAAGTAATTAATACAGTTATATAGTGAGTTCCAGGCCAACCTGGGGTAGTACGACCCTGTCTCAAAGTATAAAACAAATTAAGAAACCAAATGACAAATGGCTGATGGCCCCAGAGCCTTGCAATAATCTTTAGAGTGCCATGTAAACCAAAATATGAATGATACATATCAAAAGGGAGTGGGAAGTAAACCAGAACCTCTGTCAATCCATGTTTAAGAAGGGGAATAAGGGGGCCGGAGTGGAGGGGACACGACTAAAATGACCAAATTAGCTAAAGGATAAAATTATATAAAGACAATACGTTCACAGGGTGAAAACTGGTGAGGATCTAGATTTTCTATTCTTTTTTGTTTGGAAACAGACTTTTTTTTCAGTGCTAGGGATGGAACCCCAAGTCTTGAGCATGCTAGGCTCTACCGTCGAGCTACATCCCCAGTCCTTAGTGTTGTTTTTAGGCAGGGTCTTCCTATGTAGCACAGATTGACCTCCAATTCTTGATTCTCCTGCCTGCACCTCCTAAGTGCTATGGTCAAAGGTGTGCACCACAGTGCCCAATGCGGCTTTCCATTTTTCTTTCTTTCTTTCTTTCTTTCTTTTCTTTCTCTCTCTCTCTTTCTCTTTCTTTCTTTTATTTTATGTGTATGCGTGCATTACCTCCATGTATATAAGTGCACCCATGTCATGCAATGCTCGTGGAGGTCAGGAGAGGCTGTCAGATCCCCTGGGACTGGACTTACGGATAGTTGTTAGCTGCCATGTGGGTGATGGGATTCGAACCTGAGTCTTCTGCAAGAACAGTCAGTGTTCTTAACTGCTGAGCCATCTCTCCAGCCCCTCTTTTTTAAAACTTTTATTTATTATTTTTAGGCTTTCCATTTCTTTAACCGGTGTTGTTCTTCTTTTCTGACTAGTAATAACTTACCTCAAAGTCTGTTTTCAACAGCACCAACTTTGACCCCATTCTTTGACCCCTTTGCTTCTGGCAACACTTTTTAGAAGTAACTAAATTGGACAGTTCAAAATTCCAAGGACTAATAATGGTTAGTGGTAGCCACTTACCCAGCATGCTTAAGGCCCTGGGTTCCAGGACTGCTAACAAAAAAAAATACTGCTGGGTGATGTGGCTTACATCTGTAACCCCAGCAACAGAGAGGCTGAAACAGGAGGATTGCCTTGAGTTTGAGGCTAGTCTGAAGTACATAGTGAGTTCTAGGCCAGCCTGGGCTACAGAGTGAGACACTGTCTCAAAAAACAAAACAATGTAAACTCAGCCAAATACACATGGCTGGAGGGGACATAGATCCTGGAGAAAATCCTATCCCTGTCATATATCTAGACAAATGAAAATGTGTTACCATATGCTAAATTTACAGACAAGCATACCTTACACCACTCATGAGAGAAGTTTCTTTTTGTAACAAATGGAGTCTACTGCAAAGTTCCACAACTGCAGAGAATATATGTCTGAGAGATGCCCAGTCCTAGGTGACACATCTACTGTTGAACCTCTACCCTTAAGGCTCATGGAACATAGTGGAACAAGGGGTTGAGAGAAAACTAGCCTATCCCTCAGCTCTTGCCAGTGAAGCTTTCTTATACAACAGAGTGTGATGCACACAGAAGGCCACAACTGATCAAGTTTTAAAGAATGGGAGACTGCAGAGTGTGTGTCCCTGGATAGGACTCCTGTGTTGAACCTCATCCACATAGCTCAGGGACCATTGTGGAAGACGGGGTGGAAAGATTCCAAGAGCCAGGGCTGGTTCATGAACACATGGAAGCAGAGGCTTTCAGGCCATGGTAAGCTTGCACATGTGAACATGTGGCAATGGTGGCTTTGGGCATAGGACTCATGCCCAGAGTGGAGTGAGAGAAATGGGTATCAGTCTGGCTCTAGACTGAGAACTACTGGAGACTGATTACTACTGGGTAAGGGAGAATAGGCCTTACTTATGGTCTCTGGATGGACAGACGAGACTCCAGTGGACGAATCTGTAGGACATCTGGGTACAAACGCTTGACTGGATAGGACTTAACATGTATAGCAGAATGCATGTGATCAGGTGGGGGATTAGGGGGTCATGGATGGGGGGGTGCCTAAATTTGATTGGGAAATGTTGTATGAAGTGTACAAAAGCTCAATAAAAAACTTTAAAAAAACAAAACAAAATGAAAGGGAGGAAAGAAGGGAGGGAGGGAGGGAGAATTTTTTAGTTTTGCTAAACTAAAACAGGATCTGCTAAGCTGAAGCATATCAAGAACGCCTGGACATAGTAATTGCTCACCTGCATCTGACCCTCCCCTTCTCACAGAAAGTCAAACAGGCCAGAGTTTAAGTAGAATTGGGTATAACAATAATACTGCAAATTAATCACATTTCCCACTGATTTCCATTATTTCATGATTTACACAGAAAAAAATATTGGCTGTACAAGAAAGTAAAAAGACTTTATAGGGGCTGGAGAGATGGCTCAGCAGTTAAGAACACTGGTTGCTCTTACAGAAGACCTCGGTTCAAATCCCAGCACCCACATGACAGCTAACAACTGTCCGTACCTCCAATTCCAGGGGATCCAACTGCCTCTTCTGTCCTCCGCAGGTATGGCATGACATGGGTGCACTTACCTCCATGCAGGCAATACACTCATACACATAAAATAAAAAATAATAAATAAAATATTTTAAAAAATAATAACAATAGGGCCTGGAGAGCTGACTCAGTGATTAAGAGCACTGGCTGCTCTTACAGAGGACCTGGGTTCAATTCCCAGCTAACAACCATCTGTAACTCCAGTTCCAGGGACTCCAACACCCTCTTCTGGCCTTCTTGGACAAGGCCTGTAACAGACAGGCCTCCATGAGAAATTCAGTTAATCCCCAAAATGCTGGAAAAAAAAAAAAAAAAAAAAAAAAAAAAAAGACAAGAAGAAAGCTATAGACATCTGGTTAACATACAAGATTTTTAAATTGTAACTATAATTGCTCTTATTGTGGAGAAGGTGCAACTTTCAGATGACACCACTCACAAAACGAGATTAAAATTTTGGAGAACTATACCAGAAAAGCAAAGGAAGACAGAAACTTCGCTCCTGGTTTGGTCAGCTGCAGAAGCAGGAAATGAATCAGCTGAATCGTCTTTCTTCCCTGCAATTCGAGTTCTGATGGGAAGCAGCTGAGAGACGAAGGCGGGAACGACAACACCAAATGGGGTGGAGACATCTGAGAGTGCTCCCGCTCCCACAACCAAGTGCGGCATGTGTAAAGAGGAGAACAGCCTTTGAAACTCAAGATTAAGTGCTCAGACAGCTCAGCAGCAAAGCTTCCCTCTCCTGTCATCCATGTTGAAACCCTCGTGCTAATTAGAAATCTGGGCAAATGTCACATATGGACTTAAGTGGAAATTTCTGAACGATATAAAACACAGATTCTGCATTAGACTGAAAATACTCAGAGTGAAGCAAAAGAAAAAAAATCCCCCTACTATGGAGATCATTAAGGCAAACTCCAGTCTTTGGGAAGCCTTATTACTTTTATTGTATTCAGACTTATAGATAACACCTGGTTTGGTTTTGTTTTATTTTGAGAATGAATCCTAATAGCAGAATGACAGTCAGCACATGTGTGCAAAATGGCAACTTTGAGAAAGCTGAGGGTGTGCAAAGACGTGGTTTGAACCAGATCCTCACTACAGGAGCCAAGCTTCACCCACATAATCAGTGTTTTCTGCAGCTGCCTTCATTACCCTTACATATTTCTAATTACTTTTGAGTTCCTGTGATTATAGAAAGTGTTTAGTAATTATTTTGCTTCTAACCATTGCTTTTCTCTTCTTTATTTTATGACACAAAGATCATCTCCTACAAGCTCAGGGGAGGTATGGCAAAATCCCAGGGCCATCAGCATGAATGAGATTTACTTAATCTATAAGAAAGTATTATTGTAGATTCAACAAAACACTTTAAGAAATGGGTGAGCCTGGAAAAAGCATGATGTAGTCTTTGACCACAGTATGTTTGTAATCATGCCATGTAAGCCAAAATGAGCCTCTTATCTAGCTGTAGCCAGATATCTTTTACAATCAATCTGGTCATTCATTCTATCTGTAAACCTTCTTGGAATGACCTTTAAAACCTATTTCAACTCCCTCCATATCTCTGCTATGACTACTCTCGAATCTTCCTCCAGTCTCCTCAGGATGAATATAATTGGTTTATAAAGAGTTTGAGGCATTTAAAGTCTCATTAACACTCTGCCGTAAGTCCTCTGCTTCCAAATCTACTTCCATATATTGGGCATTTGTTTTGCTTGAGTTTCAATTCCAGGCACACCAATATGAATTGGATATCTATTGTATGCCAGACACAGAGCACTACAGAAGTTTCTTTGGGTCAAGAATCCATATTCACATAACTGGATATTTGTCAGCTGTCGTCGAAGAGGGTGGTCCTCTGCTTCACTGACATCATGTTTTCTCACAAAGGCACTCATGTGTGCTGTCGGGCTCAAGCCCCACTGTTTGTTGGCTGGAGAGACTCCTTGAGGGTACTCAGGATCATCCACTTGGAGCGCTATACACTTGTAGGTAAGTGTGGCATTGACCCCAGAGCCTTTAGAGATTCCCCACATATACCAGCCCCGAAGAAATGGCCTTTGTGAAGGGAGCATGGCCAAGTCACAGATGGAGGGTCAGGCAGACTTCCAGCACCCTCAGGTTGGTCTGGGCCTCACAAGTGGTTTGAATAGACCAGACAAAAAACTTTAGCTCCCAGCGACCACTTGGGGCATTGGAGACTTTCTCTTTGGGAGTGTCCTTGACATGGAGGTTGTTGTAATGAAAGCAGAGAGACAGAGCCTAAAGGCATGTTCCTTTGCCCTCACAGTATCCATTCCTGGGTGGTAAACAGGGCTTCCCTGTGTCTATGGGGAAAAAATCAGAGATGGGAGGTGACCTGAGTGTATCTCAGTGGTTTGGGACCTAGCCAGGCCTGAGTATCATTCTCAGGAACCTAAGTGAGCATGGTGTGGGAAGGTGAAGCCTGAGAGACTGGGGGCCAATCCTACCCACGAGGCCTTAGCAAACCAGACCTGTCTTGCTTTGCAATCTTCCTGGCGGTCTTGGCTTCCACTCCTCCTCTTCTTCCTGCTCATGAAGACCCTGGCTAGTCTCCTTCAGACCCTGGTCCATTGGTTCAACAAAATAGCAGCATCCTGGGCATCCTGACACGAACTGTTGGCAGAATCAACTCAGTTGAGAAGGAATCAGAGGCCCCAGAGATGAGGGCAGGATCCCTTTCCACAGAGGCATCTGGGGACCAGGAGCCCCCCTCAATGCTTGATCCCTTGGGAGATCCGGGGGCCTCAGTCAGGGTCATACCTGGCCCAGTTCCCTCAGCCCTGACTACATCTACAGCCCACATGACCCTTGACTCTCAGCCAGCGTCCTCTGGAGCTGAGCCTATAGAGGAAATGTTGTTGGCCCCTGCAGCTATAGAAACAGTTGCTATGTTATCACCACAGGCTTCTTCTGCACGTGGGCACAAGTACAGTACAGTCCCCAAGTTGTGTGTGACAGCTTCCACCTCTCCAACCTTGAAGACAGTGGTCACACCTAAACCAATGTGGCAGTCAGAGCTCCCTTTACCCCCATACTTCCTAAACCCATGCCTGGAGCCCAGCACCTGCCACGGCACACCTCCAGTCCCAGTGCTCAGATACCATCTGCATGGAGGAATGGCCATTCCAGGCCAGAGGTGTCCCCATCTGTAACATTAGCTCCAAGGAGCTCCCTGGACCTGGCTAATCTTCCATGGATGCCTAACACATGGGCAGCCACAGAACACTTGTTGCCTGCATTCACAAGGAGATCAGGGATGGATCTGACCTCCCAGGCCTTCACGATGGGCTCAGGGCCATCTGAAAACAGTGTAGCTTCTGGCACAGGCTCAGTGTCCAGTGGTACTTCTATACCGCTGTTACCCTCAGCAATATCACCTTCATATCCGTCCTCCCCACCACCACCTTCACCCTCTTCCCCACCAGCATTGCCCCTGTTCTTATCCCCATCCACATCTTTGTCCCTCTCCCCACTGCCGTCCCTGCTCCTGGCCTCAGCTTCCTCTGTCACTTCTAGAGCCAGGGACTCTCCTGAACCTTCTGTGTCCGTAATTACACCCTCAACCACAGACTTTCCCATCAACTCCTCCAGCTATACACCTGTGCTGCCACCCCTGACAGACCTACAGCCAGCCACTCATCAAGGGACAGTCTACCCTGAGCCATGGGTCCCTAACAGCCTAGTCCCCATGGGCACCCTCTCCCTCCAACAGTCCTCCAGCCTTCCCTCTGCCTCACGTAGCTCTGGCTTCACAAAGTTATCTGTGGATGCAGGCCCCACCCAGTCCTCTGGCCAGGTTGTGTCTTTGTAGAACTTGGGTTCCTCCACTCCAAGACCCAGTCCTGTGACCAACTTTGTGACCTTCAGGATCAACAGTAAAGGCTTCTCAGTAGCTGTCTGGAAGCTGATACCACTGGAGCACCGGCTGTTGAGTAGACTTATCTATCACCAGGTACAGCACCTGGGTAGGGAAATGTGGCTGAGGATGGTCCTGCCTGCTCTGCTTTCCTTCTGAGTAAGCCAGGCATAGCCGTAACATCTAGGACCTAACTCCTTGAGAGCAACTAGACATGACAGTGATCCTGACCATGCTCAAGAAAGTCTAATGAGTATCGTGCTGTGATCCCAGGAAGAGTCAGTGGAGTGAGGAACCAAGGAGAGGCCAAGCAGAAATACTTCATGGAAGTCAATACAGAAGGGAAAATCTCACAGTGGGGAGGCCTCATCCACCAGAAACTAGAGCAAGATCTCTCTCTGTGCAGTGATGGCTTTTTATCAGCACACAGCCCTCTTGCCTTAGCATACTGAAGCCCAGTTCTTGTCTCCATTCTGGGACCAGGAGCAGGGCAGGTATGTTGGCTGGAAACTGCCATTTTCACCTGTCATCTAGGGCAACGTTCCTGCCCATTCGTTCACTGATTCAATCCTTAAGTTAGTTCATTTTTCTGTACAACTCAGGACAACTACAGGAGCAAAGGAAGGTTCCTGTTGTAGGGGCTGTGGTCCAGGTATAATCTAGACTGGGTTATAATCATGACAAGTTGTGTGAGGGAATACAGCAGGCTAGCAAACTGCCAGGGTGAGTTGTCTTGCACATAGATGTCTACCACTGAGATGGAGGTTTGTTGTTTATTTTGTCTGTTTTTTGAGACTAGTAGCCCCAGTTAGCCTGGAACTTGTTTGTAGACCAGGCTGGCCTCGATCTCACAAAGAGCTACATGCTTCTACCTCCCAAGTGCTGAGATTAAAGGTGTGCACCACCATACCCAGCATCTTTTTGCTTTTTGACACAGGGTCTCTCATGTAGCCAAGCCTGGCTTTGAAGTGATCTCTTGTGTGTTTCTCTCCCATATGCTGTGAGGCTGAGCTACCATACCTGGCCTGGTTGTTTTTATGGCCAGTTGGTTGGTTGGAGGCTTGGTTTTGTTTGGGGTTTTGGTGTTAGAGTAGGCTATCACTATGTCCCAGGCTGACAATGAACTCATGAGTCACCTGCTTCAGCCTCCTGAGTACAGTGGTTATAGGCATGCCCCAGCACACTGGCAGTGGGGACAGTTAGCTAGGATTGAGAGAGGCAGTCACATTAAACAGGAGAGGTTTCTTAGGTGGAGGGGCAAAGGGAACAGTGTTTGAAAGACCTAAGCAAAAAGGTAGTCCGAGTTGCAGAGGACCTCTATGGCAAATGGAGGCAAAGGCAGGGGTGGCAGGCAAGACTGGCAGCTGTTGGGATGCAGAGCCCATTATGACTGGACTGTAGAGGCAAAACTGCCCATGCATAAACCCAAGATAGCTGGATCTAAGTCAGGGTTTCCCTCACGCTGCTGGAGGGAAGCAGCCTGGACAAAGCCCATCAGGACCAGGATCAGTGAGACCATTGAAGAGGCCAGAGCAGATGGATGAGACACAAGGTAGAGATAAGCAGGCTGATCTCCATGCCTCCGCCTGTTTTCAGCTCCAGCCCACCTACCATGAGGCCTTCTCCAGCTGCAAGCGTGTCAGTACCCTGCTGTTTTGGTGAGTGCGCGTAACTCTCAATTGATCCATACCTTCACAGCACAGGGCCCTAAGCCAGGCTGCCTAACCTGCATGTGTGTCCGGAGCACCCTGGCCCATAAGGGTGGGTAAGAACCACATCTGGTTCTGCCACCAGCTGTGCTGAGTGACCTCAGCTGGCCTTCCTGCTGTTTTCTGTTAGGATTTGGATAGTAATAAGAGAATTTTCTGAGTACAGCAGGAAGACAGGCAACAAGAGCATCAGGCCACTTATTCTGGGGCCAAGACCATGTAAATGATATGTAAATAAATGCAAATTCTTGGTGGGACTCTCAGTCTGGACTGTTAGGAAAGTGGATGTTATTGAAATCCAAGGCCAGATTTACTACTGGACTGTAGCTGTACCATTTCGTGAAAGGATGAGCGGGTCAAAAATCACTGCAGATCCTTAAGTACAGAGCTCAGAGTGGACCCTGAATTCTATAAACAACTTCCTCCTAGTACAGGAATTTAATTAAAGGCTTGAATACCTCCAGAGATGGAGAGCTCATCATCTATCCATAATCTCAGCTGCTTAGAAAGTTCCCATTTAAAGAACTGAGGTCCTCTTCTATGACTTCCCTACCTGGGCCTGAGTTCATTTTATCTCCCCATCCCTGGGATGGCACAGGTGCTCAAAAGAAGGACAAATACTATTTTAGATTCCGAGCCTGCTTATTTCCAGGTCTGTCCCTGAGAGCTCCCTGAAGGAGCTACAAGGATGCTGCTCCCAAGACATGAGCAATTGGTTACCTTTCTGTGTCTGCCTGACTAGCCTCTTGAGAGCTCACAGTCAGCTGTGACCTCCCTGAGACACACTCCACTCTAGACTTTCCCTGGGTGAGACTCGCGGTGTTCCTGTGCGAGCCAGCTTGATGAGGAGTCCAAAGGAATTCATTTTCACTGCCCACCTGTGGTGTGCACTCCTGCCTGCACCCTTCAGGCCTCACCACAGCCTTCCAGGAAAAGGGTTCATCATCCCCATTTACCAAGGAGCCCACCACCATTGCAGGGGTCATGTGACTGCTTCAGTCTACAGCTAGCAGCTGCCCTCTAGACTTCCCTTCTTCGGGACACTGCCTTCTGTACCATCCATCTCTAGCTCATCCCTGCTGGCCCCAAATGAGCATATGACTCTTATCTACAGGCCTGGTTCTGCAGAAATTCAAGCCTCCCTAGTGTTTGGTCGGCCAAGTCCTTCAGCCCTCGAAACTCTCTGGACTTTGTACCACAAAGTGAAGGCCTCCAGATGGTTGCTTGGGCACCTGCCCCTGGCTGAGAATAGCCTTTCCTCTGATGGTGAGTCTAGGGCAGCCTCACCACTGCCTGCCCCATGCCTCCTTACCCACTGATGGGGGATGCTGAGTGGGCTTCCTGGAGGGATCTAATTCAGTTTGCCCAGGCCCTGAGCAGGCCATGGTAGAAAAGGAGGTTCCTCTAGCTCTCCAGACTTCTGTATGTGTCTCTGTAGGGTCCAGTTTGACTGACCTTGCCCTGGAGACCATCAGCATCAGCTTCACTCTCACGATGCCCTTCCTGCCCCAGCTGCTTCTACCTAGTTCTCGACCTTTTTTCCTTTTGGAAAAGCAAATCTTCCAACTGGTGAGGTTGCCTGACCACCCCCACTCCCACATTTACCCACCTCCCCACCCCCACCCCAACCCCACTTCTGGAATTGGAATGCTCTCTCTGCCTCCCTTGACAGCAAGCCTCCATAGCTTTCAGTGGGAGCAACAGTGCCCAATGGAGGCAGCACCAGTTTGGTGCTGTGAGGGAAGGCAGGCATGGAGGAAGCCCAGCCCTGCTCTGGGAGTAGGCTGTCTGAGGGAGGAGGATGCTCTGGGAAGCACATGACCAGGCTGTCACCAGACAGACCTACCCAGGAGGCCACACTGGATGAGGCTCTTAGAACCTTCCTCACCTTGTCCAAATACTGGCCCCAACCTACACTGGGCCTCAGGACAGGCAGCTCCCAGCCAGCCTGACCCCCAGGACTTCTTGCAGATCACCCCTGAAGTGTCAAGATTCTAAAAGGCAGACCCCCAGGACAGGCCCCTGTTCCTCTTCAGGTGAGTTAAGTCCCACTCCTGCTCACCTAGACTGCTTGGCTCCTCTCTTAGAGGCTTGTCTCTGGGGCAGCTCTACCCCGACCCAAAGCCAGAACATATACATGTAGGTTGAGGACCACCAGAAAAGGACTTTGTGCCTAGGTGGCTTGAGCCAATCTCATAGAGCTGTGCCCTTGGAGAGATGGGGAGGTGGGATGTACACATGGGAGCTCAGTGCTTGCTTATAGAAGCATGTGGAGGCAAAGAGCCTGTAATCCTGCACCCTCCCATCCTTCCCTAGAAACATGAACCAGTGGGTGAGCATTTATATGGAATACAAGTTCCAGAGCCCCATCCCCACCCACTTCCAAGGCCTGGCCAATCACCTTGCCCATGAAATAACAGATCCTACGCTCCAGAAATCCAGCATAGTGGCTAATGGTGAGTCAGTCTGAGCCCCACGTGTTGCTCTGGGTCAACAGCTTCCTACCTCTCCAGGCCTCCTGTTCCCTCTGAGAATGGGCAGAACTCTCAGCAGCAAAGCTCATATGCCAGGCCACAGGGAGAAGCATCTCCTGGTGTCAAGTCTGAGTGAGTAGGGCAAACATCACTCTTCTATTAGATAGATTAGAGCAGGAGCTGGCAGATCCTTGCTGTAAAGGGCCAAAGAGGAAATATTTGTGCCCTGTGTGGCACAGGGGAGCTTCCAGCTCCTCCCTTATAGGGAAAACACAGCCAGCCCTAGGGAATATGTTACAGCGGGTGAGCTGCCTATGTTCTAGTAGAACTTTATATATAAACATGGAAATTTGTGCATCATAAGCTTTTCATGCCATAAAATGTTCTACTTTTGATGTTTTTAAGCTTGTCTCAAAAAGACCAAAAAAAAAAATCTAAAAGCCATTTTAGTCTCAACAAAAGTAGGCATAAAGGATGGTCCCTCAGACGAAGTTCGTTGACCACACAGCAAGAGCAGTGGGATTTGGGCAAGGAGCCATGGACCAGGGTGTGGTCCTGTCCCAGAGCTCCCAGGAGACCAAGGCCTTGGCTGATGTCACTGCCCCACCCTATCACTCCAGGGGAGAAAGCAGAGCTAGCATTATACAAGATGTGGTTCCTGATCCTGGGTCACCCTATCACTGTGGCCTTGGAGAAGAGAACTAGACCCGAGTCCCAGAAGCTTCGAGGACAGCTGACAAAATGGGTGATGTGGGAAGATGGAGGTGGAAGGGGAGGGATGTAAGGGTGGGCCAGGATGTGACAGAGCTTGTGACCCTCTTTGTCCTCTCCTGACTCCAGCTGACCTCAGTCCTCTACTCTCTGAAGAACTTTGGTCAAGGGGTGGTGGATGAATTCCAGTAAGTCTACAATTCTGAGGGCAGGTCAGGGAGCTGGATGAAATGGTCTCTCTGCATCCCTCCAGCCCTCTGAAGTCTGTCATGATTCTCCTAGACAGGAGCCACTAACTGCCAAAGTGCATGCTGCTTTCCTTGGGACTGGGCCAGCCCAGGCCATCATTCACACCCGTGTGAAACAGGCCCTAGGCTTCCTGCAGGAAATGGAGGGTCTCTAGTTAGAGATGGTCATCCCAGTCCTTGGTCAGTGCCCCCTTCCTCTGTCTACATCCTCCAGCCCTCTGCTACTTCCCTCCCACTCACTGCCTTGCTGGTTCTGCCTCCCTGGCCTTCCCTCCTGCATACAGAACCACATGACCATGTCTGCTCTGATCCCTCCTGTGAGTCCCCAGGGTACCCAGGTTCCAATTCTCCTGGGACCACCTACCAGGCCTCAAGGTCTCTGAGGACTTTGAGAATAGGGAACCCATCTCAGCCCCAGCCTTCCTACTCTGCTCCAGGCACCCCCAGCTCCAGAGCCTCCAGCAGCCCCAGCTATGGACTCATGCTGAACCTCTTGCTGATCGCATCTCTTCTTGTCCTGGCGAGTCTGGCCAGATAAGGGCTTCTTCCTAGAGCACAGGCTGAGCCTTTGAGCCCTTGACTCAAATGGAGCCTGCTGTATACCTGAACCTGGACTCTCCTCAAGTGCCACCTGGAGTTTCCACCTGGGACTTGGGCTTGACCCCAGGACTCCATCTCCTTAGCTAAGTTGCCAAAGTAGAGGACCTGCCTTGGGGAAACTGAAACCCCTCCCCAGCAATGGTGACACACCACAAGGTGTGGAGCCCCCCTTCAGCCAGGCAAGCAGAGACTGACCACCATGGTTGCCCTGAAATGATGTGGAGGGAGTACCTGTGTGACCTGACAAACCTCCTCAGGAGCTATTGCCACAGTGCTGGGTTGGTACAGTCTACCCTGACCTGGGAAGAAGCCAAGGGGTGATTAGGCGTGACAGAAGCAGACCTTAGGGCCTTAGGCCATATGAGGAAAACTGGGATAGAGAGTAGAGATGTGTGGTGAGGTCTTAGCTCCCCAACACATGAAGACTCTGCCAATGGCCACTCCAAGTCCTTGACAAGGTCCCAGATGATGCCCCAACTTAATGACCCCTTTTTTCCTACTTGCCCTTCACCTTGAATCCAAGGCCAGGGGGACGAAGGAGGGCAGCATCAGCCAGCAGATATTTGTTTATGAGTGAAAGGGTCCTGCCTTGTAGCCCAGGCTGGCCTTTAACTCACTACATAGCCCAAGCTGGTCTCAAATTCACAGTGATTCTCTTGCCTCTGTCTGCAGGATGCTAGGATTACAGGCATATACTACTATGTTCTGTTTTGATTGTCTCCAGGTATTATTCCTGACTCATGTGTCTCTTTCCTCTACCCCAGGTACCCTGTGTGCTGCTCCCTACTTCACCAAGAAGCAAACTCCATATCTCTCCTTGGTCATATCACCTCAGTTCACCAGGGGCTTCCAAACAGCGTCTCAACCATGGGAAGTGAAGCTCCTGGAGTCCAGAACACAGAAGGCAAGGCCCCAGCCCAGGGCCGCAGAGCCTTAAAGATTGGACTCTAAGCTCCCACCTCACCCCATTCCCATGCTGCATAAAACTGGGGAAAACACTCTCCCATTTCCACGGCCATGAAGGCTGGCCCTGTGTGGGGCTTCACATTCTCTCAACTCACACCTTTCCAAGGAGGGAGGCAGCAGTTTCCTTCCTAGATAAGGCATAGGCCCATGGGCTCCCTACAAGCTACACAGTTGGACCAGGACAGAAGGAGGAGTCAGGCCCTATGGTGGGTTCTTACTACCACCCTCTTTCCACAAGACTGGGTATCACGCTGGGGAAGATGAGAGAACAAGAGCCAGTTTGCACACACAGAGCATGTAGGGCGAGAGCCACAGAGAGTGTCCTATCTAGTACATACGTGTCTACCAAGACCCCTGAGGTGGGGCCATTCAAGACAGACCCCAGTGACTTCCTAGTGCTCCCAGGAACAGAGTAGAGGGAACAGCAGCCCGTAAGCTTCCCTAGTGCTTGTGAAAACATCTCCAACCTCAGAAGGGGGCCAGAGTCTCATCCATGAAGGAACAGCAAGGGACAGGGCTGGGCCTCTGGATTTAAGGCAGTCATCTCTAAAAGATGCTTAACTGTGGGCCTTCCAGTGTGTCCAAGTGAGAAATAGTCAAAAGTTAGCATGAGAAGTTGTTTTCAGTTCAAGACATTAGCTTACACAGGCATCAGTGGGACGTGGGAGGGAACCCACAGGAGGTGCCCAGCTCTGAAGACTGACACAGGGCTGATTAGCACCAGTCTAGAGGGTGAGGCTGCCACACAGTGACTCAGCCACTTAGAGTGTGGACTCGGCCAGGCTCCAAGGATAACCACTCTGGTCAGAGAGGTCTTAGATCAAGGACGACCCAAAAGCCCCTTAACCGGTCTGGGATTGAGGCTATGAAAGGGAGGCAGGTTACAAATTTCTGTGAAACAGTAAGGCAGGCAAGGCCTTAAACCCAGAACATGAGAAGGGTGGGACTCTGGTGTATTGTGGAGTGGGCTTTGATCATTTTGTCAGAAAAATCAGACCGGGTACCTTATAAGACCATTTGGTGAACTTTACATTTTCTTCGTTTCACATTTTTATCAGTAGTTAGACACGGTGAGTGGAAAGCATCACAGAGCTTCAAGATATTACAGAGTGAGCTGGGCATGGCAATGCATGCCTTTAATCCCAGCACTTGGGAGGCAGAGGCAGGTGGATCTCTGAGTTAGAAGTCAGCCTGGTCTACAAAGTAAATTCCAGGCTAGGTGGGGATACAGGGAGATCCTGACTCAAATGACAGAATAATGACTCAAAATGACAGAATAATAAAACATCTCAGGGTAGTAGAGATGTCACAGAGCAATAAAACATCACTGACTAGTAAAACATCACAGAGTTGCATTTCAAGATATCTACCTAGTAAGTAAAACAAAACGAAACTACAAAATAGTCTAAGCTTAGAAGGAGATTAAAATATAAGAATACAGTTTGGTTATAAGAATATAACTTCTCTTTATCAAGTCAATAGACCCAGAGAGGAGAGGGGACCCAGCAGCCTAGACCATGGGCTTACCCAGCCAAAGGCAGGGGTCAACACCAAGACAATAAGGAGGGGGCCAAAAACATCACCATGTCAGGTTGACAGCGATTGGTGGCAGGGGTCTCTGTGGAATAGAGCTCTGAATTCACAGCCCTGAATGGTCCATACCCCAACTCAGCATCCCCAAGCCTAGCCTAACATGCACACACAGCCCAAGGAGCCACACTCTCCAGTCTACTTCTAACTAAAAGGCCAGCCGAATAGTGCAAGCCAAACCAACCCTCTGCGTGTTGTGAGGCCTAGCTCTCTCCAGGAGAGTTCCTCTTCCTAGGAGTCTGGTATTCTCTCTAGCTGTGCCTTTGTCTTAGCAGCCTTGGGACTGTGAGTTCAGGGTTCCTACCCTTCTATAAACCAGCCTGATCCAGGCCTCACCCAAGATCTTACAGAAAGACAGCGTTCAACCACACCTAGTACACTCAGTACACAGTGAGCTTCAGGAGGTGGCATAGATCAAGAGGGAAAAGGAACTCTCGGGGACTTGCATGATTTTTCCTACTGCAGTACATGCAAATTGACAGAGGCAGTCCACTTGGAAAAGCTGACTACAGAACAGCTCCTACCAGTCTTTCTTAGGGATAGGATGGGTATGGAAGACATGCCTCCATGGCCCACAGACTTGTCACAGTATCCCTGCAAAGATCCGGCCCCATGCTCCAGCTGAACAAATCACAGCATGAAAGCTGTCTCCTGGCTAGGTTTTGGGCCTCAGCCCAACACAGAGGGCTCCTCAACCCTGTGGGGCAGGTGCTAATCACCATCCTAACTATAGGAAAAATGAGGCAAGGCATAGATGATTTGTCCAGATGACCCCAGAGCTGTACTGGCCAGCAACCGATGGCAGGGCCTTTCCAGGACGTGAAGCCTGAAGGTGAAATTTTGCTTCTTCCACCTCCACCCTGAGGGCAGCGCATTCTGCCCACATTTACAGAGACCCAGGCCTCGGAGAAAGCACTATGCAGTCCATCTCCAGGGCACCGGCCTACAGACCTGGAATCCATGCCTGCAGGACCTCAGGTCTTGAGGCTCAGCCCCTGTACCTGTGGGAAAAGAGGCAAGGCCAGGACTTTAGCAAGGGCCTGGTAAGCAGGAGAGATGATGCCCCTGATGACTCTGGGCACCTCTTGTTGAGGACAGGCAGGGAAAACCACAAGACTGAAGGGCCTAGTCCTTCAGGAGTTATACGTATAGTGTCTGAGTCCCTATATAGACCTATTATTCGCTCCTTTGAATCATTTCCTTGCAGGCTGACCATGTAGATTCGGCATTTGTACTAACCCCACCAAGAGTTCTAAAGAGAGGGAGATGGGATTCAGAGAAGACCCTCCAGGGAAAGGATCACAGGAGTAAGGAAGATTTGGGCGGGGCCTCAGGGCAGTCACAGAAGTGGGGAACAGGCCTTCCTTCCTGTGAGACCTGCCAGGGGGACCCGGGAGGGCCATAGGTGGAGTGATGAGAATGTTTTGGAAGATAGTGGGCATTCTCAAACTCACTATTATTGCTGGGCAGAGCTGGGTCTACACACCCAAAAAGTAGGTCCTGGTTTACTCTGGCTTTCACAGTACCCAGGAGATCTGAGCTGCCCATGAACCTAGACCCAGACCTGTACCTATACTGACCCCTGGCTGCAGTTAGATGTGTAGAGAACTCACCTTATGAGTGGAGGCTTGGGTTCCTCCCTAGCATGAAAGGTACAGGAAAGGCATGCAGAGGCTAGGCCAGACAGGACTCCAACCCTAGGCCTTGAAGCCCCACCCACCCCCAAGGGCCCAAGACGATTTACCAGGAAGAGATGACAATGAATTCCTAGGCAGCAAAGCCTGGAGGACAGCATGTGATTGGGTGAAGAGAAGACTGCTAATAGGGAGACTTCAATTTATTGCCTTCTGGACACCATAGCCCTGAGAAGAACCAGGGCCATCTTCCTGAAGTCTCTGTTCCTCAGTTTGCCCTAAGAAGCAGGACCAGAATGATTGCCTCTGTGGCTACAGGGCAGAACAAAGCCTACTGTTTCACAAGGAGGTAAATAGGCTATGTTCAGAGGAGGCAAGACCTCCTCTGATGGGGCAGGAAAGAAATGTGAAGGAAATGAGTCTTTGAGGAGAAAAAAAGTATGCAGAGGGGCTGGAGAGTTGGCTCAGTGGTTATGAGCACTGGCTACTCTTGCAGAAGACTGGGTTTTGGTTCCCAGCACCCACATGATGACTAACAACCATCTGTAACTCCAGTTCCAGGGGATCCGACGCCCTCTTCTGACAACATGGGTGCACTTAAATATATATGCAGGCAATATACTCATACACATAAAATAAAAAAAAATATTTTTAAAAAGAAGATAGCCAGAGGAAGGAACCCTGGTAAGCTCCTAACTCAGGTGACTCCATTTTTGTTGTCTGCCTGACTTTACAAGTGACTTGGCCATATAGAGCCTGAATTGAGCCAGAGTAATGTGTAGGACACACACACACACACACACACACACACACACACACACACGGGTGGGGGGGGTGTTAGGTTTTGGAAGGCCCAGCAGACACCAGACAGGCCATGCTGGATCTACTATGTATACATCATTGAGACTTTTGAGTCTGCAGGCTAACTGGAAAGAAACAAAGAGAGGCCCTGCTTAAGGGAAGGACTGGGTCCAGCTACCCAGACCAGCTTCTGACAGGGTGCTCCCCACCTCTGGGAGTGGGGAAGGGGCCCTGAAGTTCCTGTAATCCACAGCTCCTTCCACCAAGTAGATCTAGGAGTGATGAGCACTCCACTCCCTTGACTGTGTCTTCTTGGAAGGGTCTCCATGACCCAGGAGGGAATCTACCTAGAGGATACCAGATAGGAAATGGCAGCCATTGGGAGTGCCAGTTCAATACTGAGCTCTTCTGCTCTGAGCATCACTTCTACTGCTCAGCTCAGGCCCAGGAATCAGGGCTTGAAGAAGCATCTCTATGATCATTACATCTTTGCCCAAGTACTTATGTCCAGACTGTGCAAAGACCAGCAGTCAGGAAGAAGGGGACAATAGTTATAGGTCCCCCAGCAGGCAGGGCTCTTGGTGGGCTGCACTGGGGAGGCACTAGACAGATCTGTAGAAAGCCAGTCCCTTAGCTGGGAACACATACTGCCTGCTGAGCTTGGAGATGCCAGGGTAGTAGTGGGCAGTGATGGGGAAGACCTGGCCTCTGGAAGTTGATTTTAGTGTCTACAGGGCCTGGAGGTGGAAGGGCATGCTGGAGAGGGCTACCTAGGCTCTCCCACACCTGGTTAGTTTGTAGGGTTTGAGAAGCAGTGACCACGCTTGGGATCCTAGGATATGAATTAGGAGTTGGGGCTAGATTTAGGGTTTGCCAAGGTGCCCACATGATCATACCACACTAATGATTCCACCACACTCTCTTCTGAAGAGTTCTGCAGCTGTCTTATTCTGGTTACTGGTGGAAAAAGAAATAAGGGTGCTTCCCCTCTTTCAGGTCTCATATTTAGGGAAGGTCTCAAAAGGCTAAGTACCCCCTCCCCAGATTCTTGTGACAGGAGCCTGGAAACTGGGTTCCTTTAGAACAGAAATTACTAGAGGCACAGTAGCCAGGCTGAGTGTTGTCAGGAGGCATGTGCCTTTCTGGGCAGTGGCTCAAATGCCCAGAGTTGGGGACCCCAATGGCAGCAGCAGCATTCCCAAGGAGCCCCACCTTCCTGCCAATGTCAGCCTAACACAGGTATCCTGGCCAGCCAGGGGGAAGATACTCTACAGTCCACTGCCTGGGGAATCAAAGGAGATCCTGGAAGGGCTACACTGGAGGAGGTGGCCAGGGAAGAGACCCAGAGAGCACAGGGACAACAGTCAGCAAAAGGCCAATACCTGCTGGTCAGATCTCCCCAGCTGGGGAGCAGCCCAGACTGGAAGCACCCTCCATTTCCAGCAGGGAAATCAAAGAGGCATTGCCATTCAGAGCAGACTTGGGCCCTGCTCTCAGCTGCCCTAGAGAGCTGACAGTGATGTGGTGGTTCAGCTACCAACAACCAAGGAAGAAGACATCTACAGGTTACCAAAGAGTCTTCACAACCACCCTATTTTCCTCCTTCCCAGGATCACAATTTTGGAGAGAACTGTTCTTCCCAGTAACCTTGCAGACTCCACTTGTCAGCAGACTGGCTGCTGGGGCCCTCATCCTTTTACCTTGGGCTGCAGCATTAACTCATCAGGTGATAGCAATGTGGGTCTAGTAAGGCCCCCTGGAATAGAGCATAACTCAGGCAGGTCTGGAATAGGCCAGTGGGAACATGAGCTAAATACAGAGTCATGGCCTGCCCAGAGAGGCCAGAACCGCATTTGGATCTTCACACAGCCCGACTTGGTGTGACCCCCCTCAGCAAATACCCAGCCATTTGTTTCCTAATCTGTAACCTGAGGGGAGGAGCATGTTGGCGGTCAATGTTACACAGAACATGGCTCTTGAACCCAACTCAGACACCTTAGGAGTTTGATTAAATTTCAGATTCCAGCTGGGCTTGGTGGACACAATCTTAGCACTTGGAGGCTAAGGCAGACAGACACAAGTAATAATCAGCAGCATATAAAGCTAGGATTTGAATGCAGGACTTGGAAATTACTGATCAAAAACATGGGATGTGTCTCTCTGGCCCTGGGTGGAGACATGGCACACTCTAGATGAAAGGTTGGCATATAACAAGGAAAAGAGAAGGATGACAGAGGAAAACTGACATCCCCTCCAGGTTGTCCCTGCAGTGACAGTGTGTGTGGTGCTAGCCAGGTACTATACTTTGGATATAGTTTCAGCATACCCCTGAAGTTGAAATTTTATCCCCATTTGTGAAATACAAGAGGTTAGGAACTTAAAACCACTGTACTTAGAGGTGGGGCCTTTGAAGAGGATTAAAATCTTCAGGACAGAGATCCATTATCCAATACTGGTGGCTCTGTAAGGAGACCAGAAGATTCACATGTATGTGTCCTGACTCTTGCCATGTTGTACCCTGATCCACCTTGGGACTCTGCTAACAAGGCTATCCCCAGATGTGGCTGCTCAACCTTGGACCTCTTGAACCATCAGCCAACGCTGGGTGTGGCAGTACACATTTATTCTCAGCAGTGGGGAGGCTGGGGCAGGAGGATTGCTGGGATTTCCAGGCCAGCTGGAGCTACACTGTTGAGACCCTGTCTCAATATAAAAACAAAACCCATGAGCCAAAATAAACCTCTTCTTTAAAACTTACTGCAGTCTATAATGGTGTTACTGGTGACAGAAATGGATTCACACACAAGGAAAATCAACTTGGGCTTGTACAAGGACAATGGCAGCTCACACATCAAATCTTGACCTGTTCAAGGACAGGCTGACTCAGGGGGCTGGTGTAGTTGGGACACACAGTAACTGCATGTCAGTTCTGATGAGTACTGGTAGACTGGCTCCAACACATGTAGAGGCCATGTTCAGGAAACCACCTGGGCAAATGTCCAGAAGAGAGCCCAGAAAGGGAGCGAGGGAGGAGGTTAGCGGGAAGGCCTAGCAACCCTCTCATCAGCTAAGGTCAACGGGATGTATGATCATGAGCACAGTGAGGTCAGAGTTCCAGACCATAGTGGGTACATCCTCAGTCCTAGGAGATATACACACAGGTATGGTGATTCACTCAGTCACAAGACCACCAGTCTCCAAGGCTCTCCATAGTCTTGGCAAGGTGGTCTTTCCTGGGATGAGGAAGTGGCTGGCCAGTAGATATAAGAGGGCCTACAGGAACAGAGCCAAGGTGTCAGTAAGGTGCTAAAGGCCTTTGGTACCTCCTGGGTAGAAGCAAGGAGGACAGCCCATTGGTGATGGGTAAAGTCTACAGATATGAAACATTAACCAACATCCCCGCAAACACAAGCTAGTTCCCAGTTCCAAAAGCAACCCAAATGCTTTAATAGCTGGCCCCTAAGGCCCCCAGACTCATCAAAACCCTTAAATAAAGCAGGAACCACAGCTTGACAGCCATCAGCTGAGCTCAGCCCACTGCAGGGAGGTGTCCACATGAAGCATAGCTCACAAGAGCCTCAGGGAGTACCAGGGTCCCCAGCTGGGATCTTCAGAGACCTCCTCACATTGAGCCGACACAGCCTATCAGGTCCAGTTCCCTGAGTCCCTGTAACTACTTGGCTTCCAGAACACAACTTTCCTGGGATGTGGGAAGCAACTCAGGTAGGTCAATGGCACAAGCCCAGAGCAGACCTGTGGACTCCAGGCCAGCCCCAGGCTAGGGTCCCTGCACCAGCAGTGAAGACTGGGGAAAAGTGTGTGTGAATCACACACTCTGTACAATGTATCGCCCTAAGGTAACCAGATCCCAAGACGCACAAAGACTTGACAAGAAAGTTTCCCAGCCTCAGCCTCATTATCCCAGACCTTGGCTGAGGTCAAGGGCCTGTAGGCAAGGAGCAGACCAAACCATAATGGGTATATGTCAGGCATCCCCACACAACCCTTGTGAGGTAGGCTGTGTTGTCTTATTCTACAAATGGGGAACGAGGGCTCACGAGAGGTGAAGCAATTGCCCAAGACACGCAATAAAGAACAGGGCAGCCAAGATTCAAGCCCAGATAGGATGGGCTCCAATGCCCACAGGTTTTCTCACAAAGACCCTCAAGTTAAAAAAGTTCAGGCGGTTTCTGCCCAGTCAGATGGGCCCGGCCCCAGGGCAACTGGATGTCAGGATAGGTACACAGTGGTCCCCAGATTATAGGCTGCCCCAACAGCACTAGCAATCAGTGCTACAGGTGATGGCTCTGGCTGCCTAGGAGCTGGGGGTGAGGCGAAGGTCGGTCTGGTCCTGAGGCCTTGTGACCCCAAGTAGGCAGTGCCACGCCATTGAGCCAGGCAGTTTCCAACAGGCTGCGGAAGCGTGCCCTCAGGGTGGGACCGGGTGGATTGGTGCTGGCAACAGGGCTTGGTGAGGGACCATGTGACCCTCTCCCAGATGTCTCTGTTTTCTCCGGGCCAGGGGTTGGTGGCTTCCTCCCTGGTTTCCTGACTTTGGGGGCTGGTGACTTCCGAGCCACAGCTTGGCTTTCTGGTTCATCTTTGGCCACAGTGGCTTCTGATGGGGATGTAGTTCTGGTCTCAGTGTCAAAGTCACCTGGAAAAGGAACACATTATCAATCTGTAGAATCCACACCTCCTGGTCTCAAAGCCACCCAGAACAGTGGCTCTGTTTGTCCCAGACCAGCAGATGGTGCCAGCAGGGTCACAGTCATCATAGATAGCCCTTCAGAGTACCCATTGACCAGGCCAAGGGAATCTTGCTGAAAACATAACACTTCTCCCTAAGGGACACTAGAACTCCATCTGATGAGAAGAGAGCTCAGGAGAAGTCACTTGGGAACAAAGACAAGAGGAAAGGAGCCCCGCAGGTCAGGAAGCACTGGCTTGGTCCAAAGTCTCACTATGCAGCTGGATAAACGGGCATGGAAAGAGAAGGCGGTGCCATACACAAGACAGCCATCTTCCTCCTGCCATAGAACCCCAGGCCAGGAGCCAGAGCCCAGTAGAGATGAGCCCCAAAAACAGTCCTAGGAGGGAGGAGAGGTCAGGAACCCAGGGGAGGGAGGAGCAGCCCTCTAGGGGCACTCATAGTTCAGGGAAGGAATGGGGTACAGATTTTCAAACCTAGCCAGTAGCAGGTCACTGGGTTTTAACTCCCAGACTTCTATGAAGCAGGCAGCCCAGGGAAAGGGACCGGACCCTCTCTGGACCCCAGACAGGGCAAGAGATCAGGAACATAGGGCAGGTAGACAACCCTCCCCTAATTCCATGGCAGGATTTTGCCTAAGGCCTTCTCTACCCTGACCCAGAGCTTTGGATGAAGGAGGCTCATGGCAAAGTGCCCAGGTGGAGAGGGGACTAGAATATATTGCTGAGAGAAATGGCTGGGTGGTAGGAATGTGGGGCAGCAAAGACTTCAGAATGGGCAAAGGATCTAGAAGCCAATTTACCAACACAGAAAAGGCCATGCCACCCTGCCACGTCCTGACTGAAGGAGCTGAGCATGGCAGCATTTGCTGAGCAACCCAAGCATGGTAACATATGCCTATAATCCCAGAACTAGGGAGACAGAAGCATCCTGAGTTGGAGATTAGCCTGGGTTATACAGTAAGACACTATTTCAAAAATCTGGAGAGAAAAAAGTACAACTGGAGAACCAGCTCAATGCATCATTTATAGTAGAAAAATCAAACTGCAAACAATATTCCAACTCGGGAACATGTGTGTGCAAGTGCCAGGGGACCAGAAACTACACTGAAAGGCAACAGTGTCCATGTGGGAAGGAAGGTGGGATGCTGCCAGACCCTGGGCATGGAAAGGTGACTAGGGCTGCTTTACAAAAATAGGAAAGACTGCAGGTGGGAAGTAAGCCTAGAGCAAAGCTCAGGCATGAAGACTGGGATGCAAGGAGTGGGAAGCCCAGGTGACAGTGGGCAGCATGCAGGGGTAGGGGCTAGAGCTCAGAACGGGGGAAACATGAAAAGCAAATTCTCAGGTGGAAAACACAGACTTGCCCAAAAGTCCGAGAAGAAGCCTACATCAAAGATGCAGAAGTAGAAACAGGCATCCAGGAAGGAGTCAAGAATATTTCCACAGAAACAGATCTACTGATGCCTACATCAAGAGGGTGAAGGAAACCCCAGAACCCCTACAAACAGAATTCTTGTTCCAACATAATTTCTTAAGACTCTTTCAGCCCCTTTCCCTCATCCATTCATATAATGCACAGACCTGTCACTCGCTCACACAGCTCCAGTGGCTACAGGGCTGCCCCATGCTCACCCAGCTGGCGGCGTACACAGTCATGCCACTGCAAGCCCAGCAGGTCAGGGTAGATGTCAGGCAGCTGGCGCAGTGCCAGCAGCTTCAGCATGCGTGAGGTGCAGCCATGCAGGGCACGCTCCCGCAGCGCTCGCTCCTCTGACAGTGTGGTGGGTCGGAGCTCCACACGGTGTTCTTGCAGCACGTGGTCCACAGAGGCTGGTGGCAGCTTTGGGAAAAGCCGCTCCTTCACCAGGTGAATGGGCACAAAGATGGCACCAGCCCGCACCACATGTGGGAAGGGGCACTGCTGTGTGCACACAAACCTCTGCAACTGGGACAGCAGCTTGCCCAGGAGCCCTTGCACACCCTGGCAGTCCTGCCATGCAGCCCGGCCCCATGGTCCAGTTGTCTCAAGCCACTCACGCAGTTTCTCTGGTGGAGAATGGGCCACAGAGCCTGAGATGGCATCACAGAGGGATGTGTGCAGCCCTGTAAAGTGCTGCTCTGGGGAGTCTGCTGGGGCTGCAGTGGAAATTTGAGCAGAGGCTGAAGCAGGGCCTGAAGCTGGAGCAGGGGCAGGAGCTGGTGATGGTGCTGGAGCAGGGGCTGGAGCTGGGGAGGTCACAGCTATGGCTGGTGGGCTGGGCAGGGCCAGGTTGAAGCATGCCACTGGCAAAGGCTGGGTGAGAATCTGCAGTCCCATGGGCACAGATGGGGGGTTGGGTGAAGGCTGTGCAGGGGGAGGAGCTGGGGTAGATGGGGACGGGACAACAGCTGCAGGTAAGGGTGCAGGACGGAGTATCTTGAATTTTCGGAACATGAAGGCCACAGAGCTGTGGAAGTTGGTCCTTGGCGTGGCCTCTGTGGTGACTGGTATTTCAGGTATTTCTGTGACCATCTTTTTCAGGCCTGGCAGACCTGACACTGTGTTCTCCACACCTGGCCCATCAACAGCTGCAGTGGGTTTAGCATGCACCTCAGGACTAGGGACCTTGCTAGGGGAAGCCTCTGCCATAGGCTTCTTTACACTCAAGTCCAGAGCCACCTCCTCACGAAGAGAACAGCAAGACTCCGAGTTCCCATCCTGGACAGGCAAGGTCTCTGTACAATCTTTGTCTTGGCTCTTACTGGTGGCTGGGGCCAAGTCCCGTTCAGCTGTGCCTTCTGGTGCCTGTACATCCAGATAGTCACGATAGGGAGCCAAGCTAAAAACATTGTCAATCACAGGCATTGGTGGAGAGCTGGGAGAACTTGAACCCTTCTGTGGAAGAGACTGGCGCTCCTGAGCACAGGCATGCAGTGCTGGTGAGGTACGGGGAACTGGACTGTCTCGAATAACAATAGGTGCCCCAGGATGCTCATCAGACCTGGGTTGGAGCTGCTCTTTCCTGCAGCTGGGCAGCCAAGTTTTCTCTTGAGCTTCCCGGACTGGCTTCTCCACCGGCCTCACAGGTTCAGAGCATGGCTGGCTGGCAGGCAAAGGTTGGCATGTTCGCTGGAAGGCACTGGGCTGTGGCACGTGCTGCACACTGCTCTGGGAGGGTGGTGTTCCCCCAAGTCTTGGGGATGTCCCATAGAGAGAGAGGTCGTCCCGGGCATAAGGAAAACCCAGAGTTTGGGGGGCAAAGTCTAGTGGGCACCGTGGAGCAAGAGGGGGCTCCAGCTTGAGGCCGGGTGAAGGTGTTGGGATGGGGGCAGAGGAGTAGGAATAAGTGTCCATCCCTACTGGTGGCATGTAGGGGGTCTGGACTGCCTGTTGTCTCAGGTAGGGGCTGCCCAGCCCACCAGCCTGGTAACCAGCCCCCTTGTGGGCTCCCAGAGGAGGCAGCGGGAGCAGAGAGCTGTAACTTCCTGGTTTCTCTGGGTGACGACAAGCTGGAGGGCAAGGCAAGGCTTGTGGAGGTGGGGGCAGTGGATAGTGGGCTGGCACTGCATCCTGGCAAGGTGGTCCTAGGGGCTGGGCCAACTGGGTCCAAGGACTAGAAGGCCCTTCTGACATTGCTTGCTTGGGGTCCCCAGAATAAGGACCTGGGTACTTGGAGGCCAGGAAACCCGAGCTGTGGATGGTTCGATACTTCTCCAGAAATGCCTGGCACGAGGAAAAAGTCAGGGAGGGCTCTTTGCCAGATCCCCCTGTTGGTACCCCATGCAAGAATGTCCCATCAAGGGACTGGCCCTTGCCAGGAGCTGGGGCTAGAGAACAGGATGTATCAGTTGAGGGCAACAGGGGCCCAGTCACCAGGGTCCAGTCAACATCTAATGGCCTCTTTGTTGGCCCCTCTCCTAGGCAAGTGGAGAGTCCATAACACAGAGGGCTGCGGTAGACAGGCTTGGGCGCTGCTAGCGGTGGGCCTGGGTATGCATGAGCCTGGGGACCAAAGGGCAGGAGCTCACTGGAGTCCTGGATCTTTTCAGAGCCTTCTGTCGGAGGGCGGTAGAGCAAGCAGTTCGTCAACAAGTTGTCTGGCCGAAGTGGGGATCCCGCCACACCAGTCGGGTACAAGGGTGTATATGGGGTCCAGGATGCCAACCGCTCAGACCCTGCCTTGGAAGTACCCCCTATGGGGCAAGAAAAGTAGGTGCCCTTGTAGTTGCAGGTGTCCTGGTTACCAGCAGAGAGGGGCAGGTCATGTCCAGGCCCTGGGTCTGCCTCCAGGCGGGGCAGCTTGCCATACATCACAGGCCCCAGGGGCCCCAGAGGCCGCTTCTCTGCCATCACTGTGAAGGTGTTGAGCCCTCCTGAACCCCTGCTACTTGACTTGCTGACCTGGGAGAGAGAAGGAGAGGCAAAGGTGGTTAGAAGCACAGGCTGCAGGTGAGCAATAGAAGGTGCTTTCTGATTTGCGGCCACCCTAGACCCTGGCCCACTGTGATGCCAAGTTCTTGCTGAATGCAAGAGTCACATTTCCCAAGGTCTCTGACTCTACTTTCTGTTCAACTCTATTTTTTAATTTATTTGTTTTTATTTTATGTCTATGAGTGTTTTGCCCACATGTATGTAGGTACTCCTGTACATGCAATGCCTACAGAGGCCAGAAGAGGGAGTCATATCACCTGGAATTGGAGTAGCATTTTGGTGCAGGTAGCCAAACTACTCTATGAGAGCAGCAGTAAGTAGTAAGCTCTTAACCACTGAACCATTTCTCTAGTCAACCAACTATAATTTTTTTTTCTCAATTCTATTTTTTAAAGGTGCAGAACTCTGTTGAACAAATAAATGCACAGTGGCCTGACACAGTCTAAACTCCACTGCAGGAGCCACTTTGTTCATTTGACTGTCAAGACGGCCCTTGGGGTTCCCAGACTGCAGGGCACAGTTGGAGGGTCACTTGCCTTGGCTTCTCACTCCCAGCCCAGATGAGACCTACCTACTCCAAAGTCACTGATGAAAGAGATGGCACAAGAAGCAGCTTGCCTCCCTCTACAGACTCCAAGGTGCCACAGAAGTCTCAAAATGCCCCTACAGCCAAGACATGGAATCCCAGGACAATCTACAAATTCTAATTTCTTTTAATACTCTCTTGTCTTGCTTGTCTTACCAAAAACAGCAGAGCAAGACCTCAAACCTAGGTTCCCTGGCTCAGAGCCACTGACACTAGGCTTGGCTGGAGAGGGCAGTTCCCTTAGGAGAGGTGTCTGGGTGCCTCTCCAGTCCTACCCCAGATCCACACCCTCAGTAGGAGAGTCAAGGCTGCCCAGCAGATGGTGCTGTGAAGTGAGCAGGAAGGTCTCAGAGAATAGGGGAGAAGAGCCTGTATCAATCTCCAGGTCTCATGCCCATGGCATAGAGGTGTATGTGTATGCGTGTTTGTATATGACTTGGGGGCGAGGGCCCAAAGTCCTAGCTGGCAACTACCTCTATAGTATTTTATTGAGGGACAGACTAAATGCTGGAAAAAGACTATGGAGTATTCTTTCCTCAGAGCCCTTCCCATTTTCAGTTCTTTCCCATGTTTCCTTAATAAATCTAGGTCCTCTGTCCAAAAAAATAATGCCTAGAGGCATGTCCGAAGAAAAATGGGCATCCAGGCCACAGTGGGCACAGGTGGGTTTGCTTGACACAACAAGCACCTGTGGTGGCTCCATCAGAGGTTTGTCTCTTAGGGCTCCACTAACCGACCTCTATCTCTTCTGGTGAGCACCCTCATTCCCAGAAACTCCCAGGAGGCTTAGAAAAAGGGTGAGATCAGCTCAGTTTTCCTATGAGTAGGCCAAAGGCCTGTGTCACAGGTTTCTGTACTCAGCAAGCAAGAACCAGCTTTCTCCTCCTTTCTGGCTAGTGGCCAGTGACAGTCAGGGGCTCAGAGTTAGAGCAGTAAGAGGACAAGGAAAGATAAGTGGTAGTATGGAAGTCAAGGACCAGTCCTACCCTAGCCAGATGGCAACAAGGAGGCCCTCTTTGACAAGGACCTGCGTCACAGGGAGAAAGTCTCCATTCCTGCATGGCTCTGTGCTTGTATGGTTTTGGGGTGCTGAGCCTACTCTGGCCCTTGGGGAGTTCTGGGTTAATTAAGCGCTGGCTCCCGTCTCACCTCCACCAATGCTCCTTGGGGGCCTGCTCTATACCCACCCTGGTCTCAAGAGCCCTACTCTCCAGAGTTCAACCCAATCCATGCCTTTTGCTCTGAAGACTCCCTGAGAACCAGTCACCTGGGACCCTCGGGAGTCTTTGTAGGGGGAGTGAAGGCTGCAAAGAGCCAGTGGAAGACTCTCAAAGGTGTGCAGATGACAGTATGTGCTGCAGCAGGAGATGGAGGGCCCAGTGCACACTCCCCCAGTAGAGGCCCCTCCCCATTCAGACAACAGCCAAATGAAGGTGGCCTCAGGTGCTTGAAGAAGGTAGGGCAGCAGGTGATGGTGGGGATGGTATTTTTAGATGCGCTCTAATGTCAGCCAGAACCCAGGGCAGGGTTGGGCACCCACTCTTGCTTTCTTCAACAGGCGAAGCAAACAACTCTGTATGCCCACTCCCACTTCCACGTCACAGCCTAAGGACCTCAAGAAAAACGCCAACCCAGCCCAATAAGGGCCAGCATCTGGACTCTCTTGGTCTGGATCAGACTGGGGTGTTCTCACACCTCTCTGCAAGCCGAGGGTCTGAGCTCTCCACATATCCGGTCTGGGGCAGTTCGGTTCCCAGGTTAGGAGAAAGGATCGCAGAATGCGTCTCCACCGAGTTTCCACCTAATGGCCCCGCCCAAGACCATCCTGCTTGGGGCCCAAAGCCTGCTTCGCTTTGGGACGGACGCCCCATCAGACACTACAGACTTCCGGGTGTCCCCAAGCTTCTCCCGGCGGCGCTGGGACGCACGTGCACCCCAGCAGGCTGACACACAGGCCGCCGCCACGCATGCAAAGCCTTGCCTGCACATATGTGCATGGCCGTATCTGCACACAGCTCCTGCCCCCACCCCCACCCCCACCCCCACCGAATTGTGCCCTTCCCTTGCTCAGGCCTGGGCACACGTGTGCAAGCCAGTAGGCTGGAGTACCGAGCCCCACAGATCCACGCTCGCAGACTGGCGGGAGGTCCAGGAGGTGGGGGGTGGGAGGCGATCCAGCCACAGAGTCCGGGCAGCCGCCTTCTTCGGGGCGATCCCGCCAGCCTGGGCAGCAGCCAGAGGGTGAGTCAAGCGGTGGCGAGGAAACCGCAGTCGGTCCCGTTCCAGCAGGGTTCGTCCAGGGCCCCGAGGCACCTCAGCGCCCGCCGCCACCAGCCCCAGCCCCCACTTCGAATCGCGCCCAGCAATCCACGTGAGACGGGCCCCGCGAGAGGCCCGCGGGCTCAGCCCGACTCCTCGCCAGCCCCACGCCGGGGCACTCCCGGAGCTGCAGGGCTCTACCAGGCCCGGGGAGCATCCAGGTCCTGGCAAAGTCCGCGCAGCCACACAACCCGGCCCCGCAGCCCGACCGCCGGAAGCCTGGGCACCCGGGCCCCGCGCTCCGTCCCCAGGCCGGCCGATAGGGGCGCCGTGAGGCAGGGCCACCCGCCCCTTGCCCACGCGCCGCCCGCAAACTCGGCCCAAGTTTCCGCGCCCGCGGAGCAGGCGAGCTCCTACCTTCAAAGCACCAGCTTTCTCGCGGCTGCCACCCGGGGCCGCGGCCGCATCCTCCAGCGCCACCCAGGCTGCGGGTCCTGGTCCAGCCCGGCCTCGCACGGGAAGTCGCGGCAAGCACCTAGCCCAGAGCCGCCGTCCGCCTAGCTGTTCGCGCCGCCGCCGGGCGCCGTCTGCGGTCCCGGGCGGGGCGGCAGAGGGCGGAGCAGGGGCGGGGCGGCCCGCGGGGTTGGGGCAGAACCCGGCTGTGCCTCTGGGAGCCTGCGTTCCCCTGGGCCCGCGGGTGCCGAAGGCCTGCGTGGAACCAACTTTCCCGCGACCCAGCAGCCAGCCGTGTGCACCGCCTGTACCTGCTGCACTCTTCAAACCACTGGGCAGCCAACCAGCCCTCACTCAGTGATTCCGTTAGATCATTCATTCGGGGCCACTTTCTAGCCATGTGACCTTGTGTCTGCCACTTGACCTCAATGGGCTTCAGTTTCCTCATTTATAAAAGTGGAATTCTGTCTCCCCTAATAGTGGTGAAGCTGTCAGGCTTCGAAGAGATAAATGGCTTACAAATTGAGGTATAGTGACATACGACTGAAAATCCCTGCACTAGGGAGTTGTCGGGAGCGCGGTGGGGGTTTGCTATGAGTTTGAGGTGATCCTGGGCTACATAGCAAGACTCTATCTTGAAAATAAAAATAAAGAAGAGATCATGCAGATACCCTTGACTCCCTTGGCCAGTACTGTTGCATTAGGAAGCTAGAAGACAGACTGATGGATCTCAACTACTATTAGGGCTCCACAGCTATCTGAAGAAGTGGTGAGCTCCCACTCCTGGAGTGGGCTGGGACTGAGGTTCAGGGGATGTTGCCAAGTGGCTTGGGTGGGTATCTGAACCTTTCTGGCAAATGTCCCTCACTAGAACAACTTGAGCACATGTAGCCTGGGATGCAGATGGAGTGAAACATCCCTAGCCAGGAATGGTATGTTGCAGAGAAGGCCTGGGAGACCTGACCATCTCTGCCCTGACTCTAGCCACCTGATTATGGATCCTTGGCCCTTCAGCACCATTCCATTCTTGGAAGGAATCTGGTCCCTGTAGTTCCTGAGCTGCCCAAGAGTCAGGGACAGAGTTGTGTAATGAGAGAGGGGAGAATAGGTAGAATTGGTCAAAGTGAGTTCATGGGGCAAAACCACTCAGGACATCTCCTTAAACCCCAGGTCAGGACTGCCTGATGAGTCAGAATGAAACAAGGCTGAGGCTACTGGTGTGGGAGCAGCTAGAACTGAAGAGGAGGGGCTGGGCTCCAGGTAGGACTAGGAAGAGGAAGTGAGGTCACCCAGGGGGTGGGGGAGGGTGTCATTTGGATTAGAACTGGAAGATCTTACAAATAGAGTCTGGAAAGATCTGGGGAGGAGAGACTCAGAGTAGGTTGGGGCTTTCCCAAAGTCACACTGCAGGCTGGGACAAAAACTCAGGTTGCCTGAAGATCTTATAGACACACTTTAACACCAGGAAAGTGCATCTGTGCACTGACAGCTCCGGGTCATTCCAAACCTGACAGCCTTAGCCCCTGTCTGCAGTCCCCTCAAATCAGGGCATTGTCCCCATTCTCACACTTCATCTCTGCACTGCCCTCCCTACTGCACAAGCTCCGCTCCCAATCCCTGACCTGCTGTTAGGAATGGGGAGGGAGGAAGTCAGTGTCCTTGGTTCTTGCCCTCTAGAACTCTCAAGTTATATGCCTGATGGTCTCCCCAATCCTTCTAAGTCCAAGTAGGACCCAGTCAGGCCAGGGTGAGCCTGCTGAGACCCTAGGGACCAGCTAAGACTGCAGCCCCACTGAGCTTTGTCTTAATTCAGTAACATCTCTCAAAGTCAGCAGCCCCACTAACCAGCATTTTCTCTATTCCTCTTTGGTATCACTTAAACGCCTTGGATTAACACAAAAAGGACACAGGATGGAAGACTTGAGAGCCACTTCGCAGCTCTCTCAACCTTAATTTGTTCAGCACAAAATAAGGTAGACGCAGTAGCAGTAGCGCATGCCTTTCATTCCAGCACTCAGGAGGAAGAGGCAGTCACATCTCTGTGAGTTCAAGATCAACCTGGTCTACATATTGAGTTCCAGGTCAGCTGAGGCCACAGTGTCTTTGAAAAAAAAAAAAAAAAAAAAGGAGAGACTCTACTGGTGGTGTGGCGCTCGGTGTAGAGAAGTTGATCCTCTGAGGGGCTCTGAGGCTGAAGTCGAGGTTGCGTGACCCTGGCCCTTTCCTACCCACTCTTCCCTTGCCTGCCTTTCCCTCCCCTGGCAGGATGAGGCATGCAGGCCTGGGTGAAGGAGCACCTCCAGGCAGCTATGGGAACTACAGCTATGCCAACAGTGGGTACAATGCCTGTGAAGAAGAAAACGAGAGGCTCACGGAAAGTCCAAGAAGCAAAGTCACTGCAATAAGATTTCTTTCCATTGAAATAAGCCATGAAGTTAAAAATCAAAATAAACTATTAGCTGAAATGGATTCACAATTTCATTCTACAACTGGATTTCTAGGCAAAACTATGGGAAGACTGAAGGTTCTGTCCAGAGGGAGCCAAACAAAATTATTGTGCTATATGATGTTCTTTTCATTGTTTGTCTTTTTTTGTCATTTCTTGATTAAACTGAGGTGATGCAAAAAAAAAAAAGAAAAAACTAAAATAAAATATTTTCAATAATAGGAACAGTGAGCCACCCGCTTTATAGACCGATTATGGTGTCAACATTGAGCACCATTCATGAGGGAAACTGCTTATTACTAGGAAGAGTGCCAGGTGATTGTGAACTCCCAAAAGCTCTGACCTTGCCCTTTCCCTCTCTACCCCAAGGGTCATATGCAGAGCCTATAGAAAATGAAGGTCATCCTTTCAAAGTGACTGGCTTTGGGAGCCCCCAAGAGTTTTTATCAGCACTTTGGACTTGGAGAGACAGTGGTGTTTTGTCTGGAAGGCACAGTTACTAAATCAGAGCTGAGAAGAGGAGAGTCTACCACGTGGGCATCCTGGGTAGAGCTAACAAAGAAAAGTAGAAGGCTGGCACATGTAATCTGAGTACTCAGGAAGCTGAGATAGGAGAATCTGACAAGTACAAGGCCAGTCTAAGTTACACAGTGAGTTCCAGGCCAGCCTAGACTACAGTGTGAAACCGTGTCCCCAAAAAAGCAAAAATAAAAACAACAAAAAGTAGAACAGAGCCAGCTGCCAGCTATAGTGGGGTATACCTTTAATTCTAGCACTCAGGAGGCAGAGACAGGCAGATCTCTGTGAGATCAAGGCCAGCCTGGTCTACATAGCAAGTTCCAGGCCAGCTGGAGCTTTTTTTTTGAGACCCTGTCTCAAAAAACAAACAGAAAAGAAAACAAAGAAAAACAAAAGTAAAACAGAAACACTCAAAGGAGATTCTATTTTCTCCTACCTCAGCTCTGCACAAGCTCAAGCAGGTGCATTCCTCCCTCCCAACTCCCACACCCCCACCCCAGACACACTACTTCTGGCTCCATCAGAAGGCAAGGTAAAAAAGGTCCCCTTTCTGAACCACAGATTGTTGTTATAGTTATTAATAACAATGTCCTTTCTACTAATGAAGTCATACCTGCTATTTACAAATCTCTGTCCTTCCTCAGAGGAGCTATGTCACCTCAGAGAAGGGAGAGGTGGTGGTAACAAGCCACCCTACTGGCAGAAAACCAGAGAAACCTAAGACACATCCAGCTCTAGAAAGTACCTCCTCTGGAAGGCCACCCAGACTGCTAGCTAGTGCTGCTATCTCATCCTCAACCCTCTTTCTTCCTCCACCAGCAGAAGATTTCAGTATCGGTAGGTGGTGGAGCAATGAGCTCCCACTTGGAACCTGGTTCTGTGCCAGTCACTTAATAAATATTGTCTCATTTAAATCTTAAAACCAGATGAAGTAAGAATTTGAAAAATGAGCAAACTCACCAGATATGGTGACACATGGTAACATATGCCTGTAATCCCATACTCAATGGAGGCTGAGTTAGAAGGATCAAGGGTTCAGGGCCAGTTTCGACTATATGAGACCATATCTTCAAAAAATAAAAAATGTCAAGCACACTGACTTTAACTCTCTGAACTGTGTGATTTAAGCAAGCTGAACTTCAGTTTGTACATCAGCCAAATAGGTATGATTATGACATATCACAGGGCTCTGATGACGTCACAGCTTAGTTCATAGTAAGCCCTTAATCACTAGTAGCTCTGACTGTGATGGGGGTTGGGTAGCTGCTCCATATAGCCAAGAAATGGAAGAGAGGGCTCCCCCAGTGGAGTTACTATATGACTCCAAGCCCTTCTGAGAGAAGGGCTTTTGGTGGCCAGGAACTCTCTTCCACTCTAGCATGTACAACCTGAAGTTGGGCTGTGCCGGTCGCCATCAGCCAGAGCTCAGAGCACCTCAGGGAGTCTAGTTGTGTAAGACCTGGGGCATGCAGAGCCAAAGTGCTCAATAGAGTGAAGCAAGCCACTTTCCAAAGACTTGCTGGCAACCAGGGCTTCCTTCTACAGGGGGCTAGGAGGCAGTTCTGTCACTCTCAGAGGCTCCTGTGGCCCCCACTCTAGTCTACCTGCCCCCCCCCGCATTGTTCTTCCATAGCCAGCCTTCCACAACAACCCCAGGAGCTAGCTGAAGTTCATTACTATCACACCTCTATGCCTTGGCTTTTGGTCTGTGTTTGATAATTGCTTCTAGCCCCTTCTAGGACGGTTTTCCTGACCCTCGGGCAGATTTTGGTCATCTCTTGTGATGTTGCTTAGCATCTGAACTATTTCTATGCCCCTATCAGCTCCCTGTGCTCAAATAGCTTGGCTTCCAGCATGTCCCACGAGACTGGGGAAGGAACCTCCTCCAGGGCAAGGGTCTGCCTGAACTCTGGGATGCAGTGCCCAGCACAGGGCTAACTCAAACCAGGGCTATGAAGTCACAGTTTAATGAAGAAGGGCTCTGCAAACCTATATGCAAAAAAAGCCAGAAAAACTCAGCTGGGCCAGATAGCTCATGCCGGTGGGAAACTGAGGCAAGAGAACCACCATGAACTCGAAGTTAGCCTGAGCTACAGTAATAAGTTCCAGGACACAGAGTGAGATTCTGTCTCAGGGAAGGGGAGAAAAGCCAGAAAAAAGTTTTTTAAAAAAACT